GTTAGGAGAGGGAAGCACCACGCCTCAACGTAGGGCAGTCGAGGAAAGCCGAGTGGACGGAGCCCCGCGAAGCGGGGCTCTTACTTCTGAGTGGTTATAATCCACAAAAAATAACCACTAAGGAGATGGCGGGGTCGAATGAGCGAGCGAATCTCCTTCTAACCTAACCTGTCCGAGTCGGGATGCTTAAGTCCAGAGCTCGGATCGCTCGATTTTACACTCAATAAAAACTAAAATAAAAGTTAATAAACAAACATTTTTTAATTTTTTGAAATTTAAAATGTATGTTTTTATTGTGTAGATTATGAAAAAAAAATGAATATCTTCATTAAAACACTATAGAAGCGTCGACTTTTCCTTTTCCAAACTTGACAAACACATTGCTATATGTCTAGATTGAAAAATAAATTGTTTTTCCTGTGGCGGTGTAAGAATATCCACTACCTCATGTCATCCCCGCGGGTGTCGTGAGAGGCGACAGAGGAAACTGGAAAAGAAAACGGGCAGCAGCATCTTCTTGACAACTCAAAATTATAAAAAAACTGCTAAACATTGCAACTACTCCTCCTCCTTACGAGGCAAAGTGTGGGGGAGGCCGTCCAGCAGTGGAGTCATTGGCTGTAATAGGATGGATGGTTGATTTTGAAAAAAAATGAATTTTCGTAGGAAGACATATCAATTCCGACTACAGGAGAGCAATTAAGCCATTACGGAGAAACATAGACCTGACTTATTATGTTCCATACTGTATATTGGCAGTGTAATCAGTCAATAGGGAATTGCCGACGCTTCTGCGAACGGCGATGGCAGAAGTAACGCACAGCGGCACCGAACGCAATTAAGTTGCAATGCAGTTGGCGCGACGTCCCTACTTACAACCGACCTCCTTAGGTACATGGTACAGTCGCGAAGAATAGTTTTATGTGTATCATGAAAGGTTATCAGGAGTGATGACTTTTTTTCTCCGGATAACTATGGAAAATATCCCCTCTATGAGGCAATCTATGGAGAAGGCTTATGTGCTTCGGTGTACTGAAAAAGAATAGTCTATAATAGATGGGTGATAGTGGGTGTATGGAGTACTAGTGTTTAGTAAGAGCATGCAGCTATTATACAAATGTAGCGTAGATCTACCAGGTAAAAGTACTACATTGCCTACTTTTAAAGTAGCTGTAACCATGTAGAGATGGTGTAAGAATATCTAATACTCCATTTTGCCTGGAGGGTGTCTTAAAGGCGACAGAGGAAACTGAAAAAGGAGGTGGGCTGCGGCATCCTCTTGATAACACTTTAAAATAATAAGAGACTGCGGTTGCTAACCAATAGAGCACGCAATAGAGGCAATCAATCTAAATGGTCTACTCTTAAAATAGTTGGTCGAAACAATTTTGCAGATGACTGTACATAGGTACAATTAAATAGCATTTACAGTGTACAGGCGCCGGCGCGTGCGCCATGCTTCTTATCGTATGCCGCCAAGTGTACGCTATAAAGAATCAACTTCAGTCTTTCCTTGTAACAGATAAACGGAATTATTTGTATTTTATGCATCAATACTCGTAAATCTATAGTTACCGTTCAGGGAACTAAATACGTATTTTAATTATTTACAATTTTTTACCACATGTGGCTTAGGGCTGTACTTTGTGACAATCTATGGCGGAAGTCTATGTATTTTTTTAAATAGAATAATTGATCATGGATCAAAATACAAATGCGTTTTCACCCCTATGGACTAGGATGGAATGCTTCGTTGGATACGTGGTAAAAAGGGTTTCCGGTTCTCTACACTTACCATACGCAGTAGTAGTAAGATGCAATTTTACGTTTATACTCTGTGAGGGCGTGGTCCTTTCCCGGTCGACCTGACCCATTCGTGATACAACTATAATATAGCTGCAATATGACTCCACCACAATAAAATGTTTAGCAGTGGTCTAGTGTTGGGCAGTAATGATGATGATCCTTGATTGATGATTAAGCTTACAAAGGGTAGGTGAAAAAAGATTAGGTGTGTTTGTTATTATTAAAAGGTGATTATTATATGTGATTATTAAAAGGTGTTAAAAGAGATGCGCCTCGCTTCTTTTTCGTATTAGAGACTCTTCTAATTTTAGCATCTTAAGCGCTTTAGCCGATAGGTGGGACTCTCCGCTTTTAAGACACTGGATCCGCATTCACATGCATAAGAATTAAAATTTAAATTTAGGTAATTAAAATAAAATGTATTTTTTTTATAAGTAAGTTTAGTAATTATTAATATTGTTGTTAAAATGTATGATTTTTTTTTCTTTTCTTAGATTTTTAAGCAATTTAACTAACAATGAGTATATAATAATGTTATGTTACTAACTAATTTATGGACTCTTGTCTGAAATAAAGTTTATTATTATGGGGTACCTATATAATTTTCTCATCTGGTTGGGTTCTATAAATATATAATTATAAATTAAAATGAAAAGATAAATATACATAAATATCAATAAAATTAAATAAATATAAAAATACATAAATAAATAAAAGCTCAACCAGATGGAGGCCCTCGGCAGGGAAGACCAAACGGCCGAGGGTTAGGGGGAAATGGAAAGAAACCGACGGACAATGCGGGCGATATCGAGAAGCACCGCATTCTGCATTTGAGCCTGGAGCAGTCTGTCACGGAGTCCCAGTTGCCTCAGATGACCCGAGAGGCTAACTGGGATTAGCCCGTTTGCAGAAACGACTACAGGTATAATTTCAGTCGACAGCCCACCCCACATGTCGGTCACCTCGTGAGCCAGGTCCAGATATTTTGTTCGCTTATTTGTTTCGGCTTTCACGAGGTTCTCGTCATACGGAATGGTAATGTCGACCAAAAATATCCTTGACTGTGCCCGGTCCATCAGCACAATATCAGGCTTATTCGCAAGAATAGGTGATGATGGCCGGGTAGAGCTGGCGCGGTTTTCGAGCACGGCTTCCGGCAGGTACTTGTAATACGACAGTTCTCGGTCCACGAGACCGTATTTCAGAGCGAGCTCCTGGTGTAGAATTTTGTCTACTAGGTTGTGCCTGTGCAACAACTGTGTACTCAGAGTTAGAAAGCGCCGAACAACCGGAGATGACATGCCTAACTGACTCAACAGGATGGCGACAAGCCCGACATATGTCGACGGTGCCATCCTTTAGGATGTATCTCCGATAGTTGTTGGTCTTAATAACCTGATCCTGTATCGCACAGACAAAACCCTCGGTTTCCCCGAAGAGGTCACCGAAACGTAGCCAGTTGAGGGAGGCGACTGTATCTACGAAGGGCTCATGTAGAGCCCTGTAGTACCTCCCGTGGATCTCCTTCTCCTTCCATACAGCCTCCCGGTCGGAAATGCTAAGCACTGCTGGGTCCTGTCACTGCTCGTTGGCTAAGGATAGGGGGGTAAGCCCTTTATCACTAGAAATGACGTCATTATAGAATGGATCATCCGATCCATTCTATAATGACGTAATAATGATGGAGGCTGCACACTTCGCGATTATGCATGGTGAGCGCGCTCAGAAAACCACGCCCACAATGTTTTCTCGGCAAGTACAGCCTCATTACTGACGATCTCGGATGATGCATCCTATAGGACGTCATAGTAGTGCGGACTTTTCTATCCAGGGCGTTAAGTTCGGTCTGAGTCCAACTGAGTATGCCATAGGTATACATGAGGACAGGCATGACCCAACCATTATATGCGTGTGTCCTATTCACATCTGACAAAAGGCTGTTAAGCACTTTGGTCAAGCGTGCATAAAACACGTCGCAAACTGACTGTTTCATACCAGCCTCATCGATACCGATGTTCTGTGACATACCCAGGTATCGGTATGTTTCAGTCTCGGAAAGGGTCCTTAAGTTGACGGGCATAGATAAGTCTATGCCCTCAGAGTTAGCAACCCTTCCAACATGGAGGACCGCACACTTATCCGTTCCCAGCTCCATTCCAATGGAATTGCTAAATTCACAAGTGATGTTTAGCAATTCCATAAGATGGGACAGACTGGAAGCGAATAACTTGAGGTCATCCATATAGAAAAGTTGGGTTACTTTTGTACCTCCTTTCCGAAGCTGAAATCTCCTCCCGGAGCCCTCCAGTAAGGTACTGAGAGGGTTCAGAGAGAGGCAGAACCAGATTGGACTCAGACAATCGCCCCGGAAGATGCCCCTTCTTATCCTTATGTGGTTCTTCGCAGCCATCATCCGCTCGCCCAGATAACAAAGGATCGTACTCCACTGCCCCATACACTGCTCGAGGAAGTCTCTAACTGTACAGTCTATCTTGTACAGCTCGAGAACTCTCTCTAGCCATGAATGGGGCACCGAATCGAATGCCTTTCTGTAGTCTATCCAGGCGGCAGAGAAGTTCCGGCGGTTGCGTTTCACCACTTTGCCAATGACCGCGTCAATGAGGAGTGGTTCCTTGGTTCCACGACCACTGCCCCGACATCCATTTTGAGCGCGCGACATCACCCGATTTAGCTCCAGGTGACGAGTGATTCTCGCGCTCAAAATGGATGTCAGTGGCTTATATATGGTGGGTAAACACGTGATGGGGTGGTATTGGGGTTGGTATATCTTTAGGAATCAAGTGAGTGATCCCAGTAGTGAAGAGGCTGGGGAGCGACTTCTGATCGAGAGCCTCTTGAAACTGTCGGGCGAGCACAGCGTGACACACTACGAACCCCTTCAGCCAGTAATGATGCAGCCCGTCGTGCCCCGGACTTTTGCAGTTCGGGGCCCTACGAACCGCCTCATTCACGTCTTCCGGCGTTATGGTGACGGGTCCATAGGCGTAACATTCGCACTCTGGCTCGCCACAACTTCCATCTAATGGGCCCTTGCTGTGGTTTACGGGCTCTGACCACAGGCCACGCCAAAATGCGACAGTGTTAGCCTGATCCGGTCCTGGGCTCGCTCCACATACCTCTGGTCGCTCCAATGATTTATAGAGCCTCTTCTGATCACTCTGGAAGAGACGATTCTAGATGAACCTCCTTGACCTCTCGGTAAATCGCCGGATCCGCTTCCCCCAAGCAGCGATCTTTTGCTTCAGGACGTCTATGCGCTCCGTTACTTTTTGCGTGATATCCAGCTGAGACAAACCGATATTTGTCCCAGCAAACACCATTCTAACGGTGCGCACAACTCTCGGTCTATTATTACCCGACCTGAAGCTTGTCAGTCTGCCGATAAGGGCCCTTGTCTTTGCGATACGGTCCTCAATTCTTTTTCTCCAGCCTGGGATGGCGCTACTTTGTTTAGTAGCGCATCCAGCCATGGGAAGTTTGGCGCCAATAATACAGCAAACTGCCAGTACGGCGCCAAAAAGAATTGAGTCCGTCTCGCAAAGGTCCCGGCTGGCTTCCAAATAAATTACCAGCATTGGGTTAAGAGCCCTCACGACAGACCGATTTCGCTTGCTTAGGGGTATTCGGGGAAGTCCGGTCGATTATTGAGAGGCATGCTGCGCGTTTCCAAAATCGCCTCTTCCAATATACTCCTCATTTGCCCTAGTTCGTGGGAAACCATTTCATCATCGTCCGAATTAACCACAACTGGGAAATCCATGGCGGCTTCCACGCGTGGATGCTGGTCTGTCGCCTGAGGAGCCGCATCCCCAGCCATAGCCAATTCATTCGATGAGGGAATGGCCTCACGTCGTAGTCGATCGAGCTCGGCATCATCAAATATTTTCGAGCGCATGATGTACCGAACTCAGTCTGCCAGGTTTTGTTCCGTGACAGGAATAGATGGCTCCAGTTCAGCAAAAAAGCAATGCATCCAAGCCCGATACGCTATCCCCGCGGTTTCTTCTCCTTTCGCCCTATAGTACGCCCGCAATACGTTTGCGTTCATATTTTTGTCCAACGCCTGCGGCGCATTCCACCAGCGGCGGATTCCGCTTGCCGAGTCTGAGAGGACCCTGCCGACATCAAGCTATCTGGTGGATATAATGGATGCGGGGGGCTGCTAGGTGATCTTGCAGCTCCTCGCGCTCGGCTGGCGGCCCGCATGCTGCCGCGTCCAGCGCCAGCTCCAGACGCGCTCCGGCGACCCCCAGGCAGCGGCCCTATACGCTTTCTGTTAAAATCCATCATCCATGTTTAGGCGCCAATTAACGGGAGACGCCCAGGCCCGGCACCGTTTCTTTGTATCGTTGTACGGCCGTAAGCACAAACGGGCCTTTGCACCCTGAGTACTGCCGAGGCACGGCGCTCACACCTCTTGGCAAGGCGCTGACTGACTACACCGACGTAGCAGTTTTGTCACTTAACTGTTACGTCAGCGGGCGATGGGGTCGTCACTTCCCTACGCCTTTTATTATTGTTATTATTATTAATGCCTTTGCTCTAGTAATCAATACCAATAGTGACAAACGAGCACACACCTGATGGTAAATGGATGCAGTAGCCTATAGACACCTACATCTTATCTCGATTAAGAATCAAAATGCAGTTGCGTTGTCACCATTGAGGACTAAGATGGAATGCCTTGATTACAGTAAAACGGGTCTCCGGTTCTCTACATGCACCATACGAAACACAGCAGTATTAAGCTGCTATTTTACGCTTTTGGCTCTACCACATATATTTCTTCTTCATCAGCTGTTATTAACCCACTGCTGGACATTGACTTCTCTCGTTGTGGGAGGATATACCGTAACAGTCACGCTTGGTTGGTCATCGCAATCGCAGCTCCAGACGACTCGCACCCTTCACACTGCTCCAAGTAACCGCATACCAGCGTAAAATAAGAATCACCACCCTTAAGGACCTAGCTGGAATGCCTCGCTTCCATTAAAAGATTACCAGTTCTCTACACTCACCATAAAAACACAGCAGCATTAAGCTGTTGTTTTACGCTGGTGTTTTGGTTGCGTGATCCTTCCGTCATCGACCAAACCCTGCTACAGCTTGACTCTACCGCATTAAAACGAGGTCCTATCTCGTATATTGTCTACACTTGGAAATTTGTAAAGTACAGGTATCCATATAAATTTCAAATATCTTAATTAACGCGCGGGACTAACGTAATATTGTAATATCTGGATAACGCCATGTTTAAAGCAGAAAGTCAAATTTCATATATTGGTAAGCTAACATATATATATATATATATATATATATATATATATATATATAGAGTCTTGTTTATATATATGTATCATAGACATCGTTATATATCATCCACTTGCTCTTGATACAGAAGTGGATGGTATGGATTGCAGAAATCAGGTCCAGGTATCGAGGCGCCGTCTGCTGACTCGACAGTCGTTAATCAGAGCGATTGGAGATTTATTCGCATCTTACATTCGTAAGCGTACAGCGAATTGAAATGATCTGGAAGTCTGTTGGTAGATATACTGATACTGCACACTATATTGATATTGCGCAGATAAATCTATATGTAAAAATAAAATTAGAGTATCTGACTGTAGTATTGATATCATCTATTTAGCTGAGAGAGTTATTTGCTTTTCAATCCGTAAACAACCATTTAAAAAAATATCTGTTCGAGTTACAGATACTTAGCTTAGATAACTTGACGAACAGATAGAGAGAAATCAAGACAGAGTCAAGGCAATATATTTTATCCGAAAAACTTATGTATTTGTATATTTTTTTATTCTTTATTGCATTCCTTAAAATAAAAGAAAATAAGGAGCGAACTTAATGCCTTGGGGCTCTATTTATAAACTAACCCATGGGATGGTCAAAATTTGACGAAGATAACCTATAGATTATTTTTTGAAAAAAAAAAAAAACAGAAGGCCGATAAATGGTCTTTGATTATACTAAATCTAGATAAGGCTACATTAATATATCCTACCCAAGCGAAGCCGGAGCGGGTCCATAGTTATTAAGAAAGACCTTTTTTTGTATAATAGTTGGGTGACAAACAAGCACACAGTCCAACGGATGGTAAGTGGCTATAGACATCTACATTTATCCTCGATTAAGCATCAAAACACAGATGCGTTATCACCCCTGAGGACTAAGATGGAATGCCTTGTTTCCAGTGAAAAAGGGCCTTCGGATATCTTATTATGTACTTATATATGTCAATGTAATCGGTGTGGCCGTGGAAGGAAAAGGTGAGATCTCCCGTCAGGCAAGGTGTTCTGCCCGGGGAGCGGCCAACACTCCGTGTTATAGTTCGGAGATGTCCTATATATATATATATATATATATATATATATATATATATATATATATATATATATATATATATATATATTTGTTTATGATTCGGAATTTTGATAGCGTGATTTAGGCTTCGGTGTGTTTCGCTTGCGGCGCGAGGACAGCGCCGCCACATCGGTTTTATGACCTACCAAACTTTGTTGAACATTGGCCTCTCCCATAGACAGAGCGTTATTTGCTATGGTTGCCACGCTTGCCAAGTGAATTGGCAACTGCAGTGTTTTTTTTTTAAATATTAGTAATCTTATTAATTAACATTACTAATATTCCTTTTAACCACTACTGGTAAGCTTGAAAATGCTTGTGTGTGGAGTGGTTCACGACAGTAGTCAAATGGCGGATTCGAACCCACGACCTTTTGAGTTCGCGATCCGCGCCCTGCCATTAGGCTACTGTCGCTGCAGTGTTTAATTATTAATTGAGTTGTCATCAGAAAGATTCCTTGCTAACCTTCTGTTTTTGTTTTCCGCTGTCGGCTTCTATATTCTTAACGCTCACTACACGTTTAAATTAAAGTTAAATGTGTTATAGTGTGTAGTAATATTGCCATTTGGTGGCCACCAATCCATCACCTTATTTCGTTCCGTGAGTGTTTTATATGACGACTATGGGACATGCGAAAAAGATCTTATGTCTTTCAATCTATTAAAAGACATAAGATCTTTAGATAGTTATGTAAGTCTACTGTCTCGTTGATTTAGTGGTCGAAAACACGATTGCCGTTCACGAAGTCTTGTTCTGTATGTTCAGTTGCCTGTATGCTGTCAAATCTGTTGAAGATTGCAGCTTAATTTCCCGTCTAACAGCCATGAGATTAAGAGTGTGATCGAAGAGTTTTTGTGTTCTTCTGCGGCGGGTCTTGCAAAACTTAGCTCCGACCGCATGGACAGTTTCCCCGAGCTTGTCATTCATATCGTCCACTGCATTGCAATCTTCTAGGCACTGAAAACGGTTTTGTAACTGCAGCTGAAAGGTTTCAGGTTCTTTGATTTAGAGCACGAGAGGGACGGAGCGTTGACTTCATTAGACGAGACCTCTCCAAGTTAACTTTTAGGGTCCTAACCATTCGGTGATCGCTGCCGGTTTCACCCTCGCGATCACTGAGACATCACTGAACAGTTGCCGTCTGGTCGTCATAATGAAGTCAATCTCATTTTTTTGTCGGATCGTCGGGGCTCGACCAGGTCTACTTCCAAAAAATTAAATATTAATATTATAAATAAATATATAATGCTTCAAATGCTAGCCCCTTGGGTTCCGTTGCCCTATTCCGAAGTTCCCTACTAACTGTCGTTTGGTGATTCTGAGTGTAAGGTACGCACCTTCGTCGACACACTCACAATCTTTACCACGTTGTTAACGAGAGACTTGTGGACGATAAATCTGACACCTCCTTGGGACAGATGGTCGCCCTCCCGGTGATAGAACAAGTTGCCGGATTCGAGGATTATCATGTGCTCCCCCCTCTCTTCCGACCTCGGATAAACAATAATATGCCAGTGCAACTTGTCTACCTCTTCTTCCAGCTCCAGGATCTTTTCGTCAGTCCTCAGGGTGCGTGTGTTATATATTGCCAAGTCGCGTCATCTTACGTGGCAACCGAACCTTCACCGAAGATTCTGAGCACCCCCTGACCCGCCGTTACCATGGTCACCACCGTAGCCAGGAATAGCGAGGCCGTCGGTAATTGGGGGCCGTCTCTTCGTAACTCTCATTCTCGGGGGATGTTTGCCATAGTTGCCACACTTGGCGAGCGGGATGGCAACCGCAGTTTTTTATTGTACAATAGCTGGAAGATGCTGCTGCCCATCTCCTGTCTGTTTCCTTTTGTCGCCTCTTACTACTCAATTAAAACGAAAATCAATTAATAAATAATAACAATTATAATAGCCGTATTCCAAATTCAATGTATGGATGTTTATAATATAATATAATGAATGTTAATATTAAATAATTATTTAACAATAATGATAATAAAACAAAATAAATGTTCCTCCTTCATGATATTGCTGTGCCCTTAAGGGTCTATAGAGATACCATAAAACTATGTGACACCTTTTGTAACCTATGGAAAGCAACAAAGTTATTGAGTATTGAGTACCCACGGGTAGATATGGCGTGGTGCATATTCTTAACCGTCACTACAAGGCAATTGGGAATAGAATAGAATAATTTTTTTTCAGGAAAGATTATTACTACGGGGAAGAAAGGTCCTCGAGTGGCAGCCTCGTACCGGTAGGCGAAATGTGGGGCGGCCCCAACTAGACACAGTGAAGACATGCAGAAAGTCGCTCAAAACCATGCTGTAAGAATGATGATGATGATAGATTATTACATAATATACTTATTAAAAGTCAGTTTTTTATTTACCACTGGTTCGGGAAATACCTCTGGGCAGAACCAGAAAGAAACCCAGGTGGAATTACATTTTTTCAACATATTGTTGCATGAATAAGTCAACTAGCGCCATCTAGTGTCAGGAACGAGAGCGAGGGGAGC